GGGGGTGGGTGGGAGAGAAAGGAGAGAGACGGTATTGTGTCCTTAACAGCAGTTTGAGAACCAGAACAAAGCCAGGGAGAGTTTCAAAGCACAGCAGCTCTTCCCACTCTGCTGTTTGTTCTGCTCATAAGCAGACAAGCTGTTTCCTTTCATCTGGAAAAACTCACACAATAAGAAAAATACCTCAATAGAATCTGAGTCTGTAATAACAAAGCCCAAGGGGCAGCCAGAAAGAAATCTTTTGGACAGTAAAAAATACTTGGTGTTCGGATCCTCAGAGAGAGATGACTGTGTCTGGGTGCAGGGCATACGTACATCCTACTGCTGCCGGAGGAGGTCGGGGATTCACTGAGGTATTTCTCATTCCTGTCTCTCCTCCCCACACCCAGATGAAGGCTGCAACCCTCGTAGGTCAGCAAAAAGCAAGCAGAGGAAGCAGGAGCAAGGAGATAATAGGGAGAAGGAAGCACATGAAAGACTTCACACAGCGATGAAGTGTCTCTCTGTACACCCTCGAGGAGGGGGAAGACAAGGAATTAGAAGCACGAGCGCAGGGTCCAACCTAAATTCTGAATCTGGACCTGTGGTAGCTACGCTGTGGTTCAGAAGACCCGGTAAAAACATCTCTCTGAAATACTGTTTTGATAAATATGCCATCTCCTTGTGGAATTCAAATCTCCAACTGTTCAACTGGCATGGACATCTCTGCAGTAACAACACATGCCACAGATTGTGAGTTAACTTGAATTACATTTCAGATCTGGGGAGGGGAGGATGTCAGTGGGAGGTTTATGAACAGTATGCTCTAGCTCTGATGTTGTTATAACCAGATGGCTTCAGCTGTATCATTTACAATAAAAAACAAACAAAAAAAAAAAGTGAAGTTGACAAATAAATCATTAATTCACCTGCAACTGGAGCAATCTGCACAAGTCGCCTCCTTCGCGGATCTCATTTCACAACGTCCGTGACAGCGTATTCTGCAACTGCACCTGGCTCCGCAGGAAGGGCTGGGACAGACAAGCCCCAGAACAGATTATTTTCCTGCAGGTATCTCCCCATCCTGCGGGGAAAGAGGCTGCCAAATCTGTAAAGCTTTCCTGTAAATACCTCCCCAAAAAAGGCTGAGGACAGGGAATGTGAACACCCGTTTACTTTTGTCTAGGCATCTCTGCTTCCCAGGGCAAGGCTGAGCCAGGGACACTCCTCAAACAGTTGGTCACTCCAACGTGACAAGGATAAAAGGTCTCATTCAGGTTTCAGTATTTCAGTAAACAATGCAGTTACTGCAGTGTAATTAGACATCACTGTGCCACACAGACAACTTCTGCAATTACCTGGCAATAAACTTTTCATGTCTGTATGCAATTACAAGCTAGAAATGCTGGGTTTGAGTTCTGACAGGGTAGTGGGGAGAATCTCGTTATGACTAAACGCTTTGCTTACCTGAAAGAAACACACGCTAAATCCAATATAAAAGGAATTAGTGGCATTTGAGCAATAGATGTAATATGGGAATTTGTGAACCACGTAAAAGGAAGGCTTTACTATACAGATGGTTGTGTGTTTATGATGAGAGCCTTGGTGGGGGAACACAAAAAGGGGCAGGGACCCTCTCATGAGTCACCATTTGATAAAAATAGACAGTAGATTAAACACATGAGCGTATGAACGGAATTCGCCTTCACACAAGGGACAAGAGGCTGTGAGAGAAAGTATAATAACAGAATGAAAAACCAGAGACAACAGGTACCTAATCTATTTTCTAGACAAAACAGAGTTATTCCCCATAATCCGTTATGTGCCCTACATGACCATCTTAAGGTCAGACCAATTTGCCACTGCCCTGGCACTGCTTATTTCAATCTAACCTGCCCAGAGATTTGGGGCTAATGATGACATAAATGGATGGTGTCTATCCCAGACATCCTGCGTTGCACCTTAATGTTATAAAACAGATGGCTTATTACACTATTCTCCCTTCCCACATGGAAACAGGTACAGGTAAAAGGAAGGACCACTGGTCAGCTTCACACAGCTATTATTAAAACCAATGCTCTCTAATATTTTGGTAATACCTGCTATGAGAAATAACATAGGTTTGCATTGCAATTTTGTGTGCAACATTCCTTAATAAAGGAATCTGAGTTCCAAGAACAGCATTTCACTATCAGTATATGGCAGCAGACTGAAACTGAACCTTTTGGGAGCTGGTTTTAAACTGGGAAGTCATAAAAATGAAACAAACAAACAAAAAAAGACAACAGATACCACAAGTACAAAATAGTAATTATTTATATTTTCAAAAAGAAAAAAAAAAGTTACCAGCTATTTTGAAACTTCTTCCCTGTAAGAAGAGTGACTAATAGAAAGGAACAGGACTGGCTCCTATACAGTCGGCAAGTCAGGTACAAACAGTTGTTAAGAATCATTTAGCAACTCAGGACAGGGACTTTTGACGCAGCGTTCATGAACAATAAAATTTCTCCTTTTTTTTTTAAAAAAGGGGGAGGAGGGAAATAAAGCAGGGAAAAATGCCAAAAACATTTCCCACAATATCTAAAAACAGTAACCGTTGTTCTTGTCAGACAGCACGCTCCAGATCAAGGATTTTCTAGTCCTTTCAAAACCAATACAGACTTGCCAAAGGCTGCCTTCAGTCTATTCACACCCTCTAGAACACACAGCCTTTCACTGTCCCCTTTCACTTCAACCTGTCATTTTATAAAAGGTGTTTTTTTCTTTTTTTTTTTTTTTCCTTTTCAATTAACATACAAGTGCTACTAACAGAGAAACTGATCTTCTTGTTGCTGGATGGCAATAAGGAGTTACACAAACGTCCAGTTTTTAGCTCAGCTGGAAGGACTTAAATTCTCTTTTTTTTTGATATAAATACTACTGGAGCTCCCATCAGGTACTTCCTTTCCAGAACCTCACTGGAAATTCTTTTTAACCCTCCAACGCTCTCCAAAGCTAAAACGTCCTCTTGCTCCAGGCATCTGACGATTTGTTCTGTGCTGCCAGACGCAGAGACGTCATTTTCCCCAGTACCACTGCTGGGTTATTCCGACTTGGGTTGGTGCCTAAACCGAACCCTGTACTTAATTGACTCAGCCAAGTCGAAGGGAACACACAGACGATGCAGCGACAGGGATTCGTTAGGTTGAACAGCCCCAGAGCCCCAGGCCCACCCTCCCCCCTCTCCCCAAGTTACTTGGTGCTGTTTTAAAAAGTCTGGGTGTCACGAAGCAGTCTCTTCCCCCCAACAACAGAGTAAAAGCTCCACAGATTTCGCTGTCTACCTGGTGGTCAAGGTTACAGCAGCATCAGCTGATGCTGCTTCCAGAAAAACATGGGGTGGTGTGACAGACAGGACTTTAGGATTGCTTCAGTCGCTTACGTGGGGGTCCCAGAAAGGGACACTGTGCAGAGGCCAAAGAGCGATATGCCTCAGCCACCAAATGGGGATGCGATACTACCATCGACTTCCAGCCCGATGTCTCCATGACGTCAGAAGCATGACTAGAAATAAGAGAGAATACATCTGAAGTTATCAACTGGCAATAAAAAGGATTAACTAAACAGATTCTTTCCACATACCTGAGAAACCTGACATTTTTAATGTACTGTTTTAGGATCACTCTGGATGTATGTCAGATATCTTTTGTGAAGATCGCAAGCTTTGGCTCCGCTGGCACTATTGTATGCTGGACAGTCCTTCAACTTAAGGATGAAAAGCTCAAACATACATGATCCTAGGTGGAGGACAGCAGGAACACAATGCTCATCTACCCTGACTACTCAGCACAGAAGCATTTTGAATCAATATAGAAAGCACTGAGAAAAACTGTATTAACTGACAAATAGGACTAAAAATGCTTCCAGACATCAAAGTAGCTGGTAGTCATTTTACATCTACTGAAAGGTCTGTTATATTACGAGTTGCAAATAGTCCCTCACTATCAGGGACTACCTGATATTCTACTACCTAAAAGTTCTTGTGATCTTAGGAAGAGATCCATAATAGCTCACAGAGACAGTCCTGCTGTACACTCTGAACAGTCCCAGGAGGACAAGACTAATCTGCCCTTAGGGCAATGCCACTTCTGGGATGCCAGATAAATGAAGGATCACAATGGGAGAACCAAAAAAAAAAAACAAAACACCAACCAAAAAAAGAGGAGAATCTCCCCCACGTGCAACAGTTCACAAGTTGTGAACCCTGTTGCTAATAAACAACAGTTTCCTCTAGATTTGTTGCATCCTGGAACAAAAGTAAACTCACTAGTTAATGAAGTCCACTGCTTGAGTTTTCAGTTGATCAGCACTATGCAGGTCAGCTAGAATGAGGATCTCAGCTGCATTTTCCACAGACAGGTTACTGCACAGTGCATCCTCACACATCACCTTCAGACGTTCTAGAGCATACTGCAAAATACAAGCCAAAGTACAGTTACAAAGAAGAAAACACCTAATCAGGCCTTACTTGTGCTCCTTCACTCTTCAGTAACAAACTACTCTACTGAACAGACCTCTTTACCTTGCTATATGCATCTGAACTGTACTCAAAGAAGTAGTGACCAGCAAAAAAAAAGGAGAATCATGATGTGCCCACCCTGAGAAAAGCAATGGAGAGGAAACATACCCACCATAACTCTCATCCCGGCCTTCTTGTGTTACAGGCTTACTGGTGCTGTGTTCATGCTTTGAAATGAGAATTTCAGGTCACCTGTAATACTTACTACCTCAGTTACTTCAAGGCACAGAATGCTAAAGCCAGATCTTTATTCTCACTCTCTTACTGAATGACAGTATTACCTGGGTTCAGTGGGAAGACCTATCTAACAGTGAATGCTCCATAGGTATTCCAGTGATGTTTAGGCAGTTCTCACTCAATTTCTTTGCCATTAATGACCTGCCCATTAAGATCAGCCTTGCTCAAGTACATGCTACTAGTTTAATACCACAAGGTTAAACAAACGCCCCTGATTTCTTGCGACTATCCAGCTGGAAACGAAACATCACAGCATGTCTGTAATGCCCTGGCAAAAGCCCTATTCTAACTTCACAATCTCAATCTAAGAGTTTCTACCATTCAATTGCGCATTTGCCTCAAATTTTTTAGATCCACGGGGTTGGGCCATGCCAATGGTTTGCGAAATTCAAAGGGATATGCTTAGAAGAAGAGTGCTGTCTAATAAATTTCACACTCTACTTTTTGCAGCACTTCAGTCAGTATTGAAACGTGCAGACACAGCCAAGATTTTCAAAAGCAACACAGTGGTCTTGGGCAGACTTCAAAAAGGTCAATACTCAAAAAACTGTAAGCCACTTGTTATCAAGAAATGAAACCAAACCCCAAACCTCAGTCTTTTAGAATATCATAGCTGGGAACTGTGAGACTGAGATACTTTTGCAAATCTTGGTATGTGTGATCTGATTATGGGGTTTGCGGCTCTTTGGATGAAACAAACAGTATTTCTGAATAGTTCTGAACATTCTAGATCCCATGATTACATTTCACAGGGATCAGGAGAGCAGTCAATTCTAATGCAGTTCTTATATGAGTAATAACATTAGCACTACATAAATTGTCCTAAAGATTAAACACAGTTAAGTTTTCTTCACGTTATGACTTCAAATGGAGTGACATTTCTTAAAAAAAAAAAAAAAAAAAATCTTTAAGATTGTTGATTTTTTTTATCTGACAGATAACTGCATTTGAGAGTATCCTTCATATTGTTCATAAGGCTTTTTTGGACAACTCAGAGACGACATGGTATACAAGTTCTTCAGTATGTGAGGCCGCATTCGGAAAAGATACCAGGTTTGTAAGGACTGCTCTGTCAGCCTGAACAGAGAGCTAGTAACAAGCTCATTTGCATGATGACGGGAGCACTTGCCATATGATAAGCACTATTACTATAAATTGATTTTATATTCTGATTGAGATTTTCATCCCATTATGATTCAATTTAAATGAATAATTTTATATTATAAAAACATTTTTTCACTTAAGATTCAGTGATAATAACTACTTCAATTGAGGCATGGCACTCATAACCAGGACAGTTTTCTCCCACCAGAACATCTGAGAAGGCAAATCAAATTTACTTGCTTAATCTGTATCAGTAACTAAAACAGTTTCAAATGAGGGGCAAGCCATTCGTTTATATTATTGTCTGTCAGTAGCTTAAAATGCAGCAAACGAAGCTTAAAATTATTCCTTTTGTAAATTGAATATTCTCCTCCACGCATGTACAATTTTTATTTCGATTTTCGCTACAAATAGCTCAGCTTCTAATTACATAGTTGGGCAAAAGTAGCCATTCTGGTCTCTCAGGTACCAAGATTTCCCCTTCCCCCCTTTCTTAATTACACTTTAAAAAACTACCCTACCTAATAGCATACTTACCCAAGAGGCTGAAATAGTATCTCCTGGGTTGAGAAGACGTGCTTTGTTTTGGTTTTGGTCTAATTACATATTTTCCCCAAGAGACAGGAGGAACTCAGAAGAAGCTGTTTCAGTCTCTTGAGTAAATATTAGATGTTTTATGTGCTTTCATGAAAGATTTTTTATTTCTGCTTTTAAAAGACACACAATGAGTTTAAAAGGAAAAAAACCTACATTAAAAGCCAGGAAACTCAAAGTTAAAGCCTACTCTGTCCTTAATGTACTGCTTCTTACTTAGACTTGTCTCAGTTAAAGATGGTATGTGAGCTCTCAATCAATACTCTTTAAATATTGAATAAAATATGTGGCAATGATTATAATCAGGCCAAGAATCTCCTTGCATTATTTCCCATTTTAATTCTAGTTGCAGTGGCCTAATAATGGCATATGGAGCATTTCACCTCTAAAATCAGCATTTTTGATGAAGCCCAGGTCCGCAGTGACAGGGCATTTGATGGTCGTGTGGTGGTTGCGTGGAACAAGGTTACATGCATCCACATCTTAAAATCCACCACCCTAACTGGCACCCACAAGAGAATCCAAGGACTGAAGAAGCATGGAGACTGAACTACGCTCTCACCCCTAGAGGTGGTCCCTCCAGGTCAGAGTTGAGGCACATTGGCAGGGCAGTGTGGAGAATCTTGCACTGCTGCTACCCGTGCTGAACCTGTTCGATGGATAAATTCAGGACTTTAGTCTCCAGTGCTGTCAAACTGGCATCTTTCACCAGCACTAAGTTCACTTTTAAGAGAAAAAAGAAAAAGGAAATAAAATTTTGGTTATATATTACGAATTTTCACTGGTCAATACGGCTCACTGGCCAGCAGAGCACTCTCTTCTGTCCTTGGTGCTGCAAAGGGAAGGAGGCAGCGGCTGGCTGGCTGGCAAGGCCACAGCGCTGCGCCTGCTACACGGGGACTACCAGCAGCCTTCCAGTCAGACCATCCCCGACACCTCCCTGGCAAGGACCCTGCAAAACCACAGATGGGTTAGGCAATAGGGCTTCCTCCAGTGCACCCCTTCTCTCCAGAAACAGCAGGGACTGCCACTGCAAAAAGAAGATAAACAATAGGACCTTCCCACTCTTGGCTATCCATCACTTTAGAGCATCTCTTGAAGCTGCTGCTACCAGCCAGACCAGAAGGAGAAGCAGGCCCTGTTTGCCAAGACAGAACACTACTTTTGAGATCTGGTAATAATCACACTAAAAAAATTATTGCCAGGTCCACCTTGGAATTTTCTTCTCTCCCCCAGCTCTTATGCTAGATTATGCTGAATAGAGATGTCTTCTGAAATTTTAAGAAAATGCTTAAAAATGTGCAGTAGAGACAGAAATTCCTGATTGTTATACGTTAAGATATGTATCTATATCGCTATAGGTATCTTATATGTATATCCTATCTTATAAGTATCTTATACTACATCCAGGTTTACCTATAAGCCACAACCAATTCAAAGAAACTGCCCAGCCACAATGATCACATGAAAAGCTTACTGCAGCAATCTCCGAGGAGCATTGTGTAAAGAAAGGCGCATGTCATTCCTGGTTCTCTGAATGCCCATAATTCCCAACTGTACCTTGTCAGCAGCTGCCAGCAAGTCATCAGCCATTTTGTCAAGATTTGGTGCCTTCCCCGTGTAAATAAAGCACATCATTTCCTTAAAAACTTCAGGCTCCACATCATTGATTTCAACCCGATTCTGTATCAGAAAAATGAAGCTTATTAAGATCCTGACAAGAGGTGAAAGGCTTCCTTCTACCCAAGCTCTTTCAGTATTCAGAAATTTGCTACAAACTATTTAGAATGTGCACCACTTGCAAAAAAGAAAAAAAAAAAAAAAAGAAAAAGATGTGGACGGAGTAAGAAAAATTCTAAGTCGTATTTCACATTCTCTACTTCTCCCTATCCCACCCCAGACTCTTTTCCCAAGAGTAACAAAGGTAACAATTGCCTCCTTGATCCCTTTCTTCCTCCCTTCAGGACAGCTGAAGCAGAGACCTGCATCTAATGTGAGAAAAACAGTTAAAAGGTGACAGTAGTCACAAATACTACCTAAGAAAGTTATCTGACCAGCAATGCTGAGTTGACTACAGAGCTATTCACCTAGCCGGAAAAGTTCTCCTTCCTTCAGGAACTTACCTTTTTACTCTCTTCCATCTCATGCTCAAACATGGCGCTGAAAACAGGGGAACGTGCTATGGCATTGGGGAAAATAAAACATAGTTAGAGATGCTCTTTTACTTTTCATGAGGAGTTAAGCGTAGCCTGCCAACACCTCAACAACTGTCCTGCTACTTAATGCAGGAAAAATTCTCCTATAGCGGATAGGGCAAATCAAGTACAACTGGTAAAGAAGTATAGGTTGTGACATAATACAATGTGGCCGATGTAGCTTCAAATTGGGTATGGGCGAATTTCTTATGTCCTTTCAACCAAGACTGAAGAGTACATGGGTGGTAAGGTATGTTTCTTGACTTTACAAGAAAGTATTCCACTGGAAATGTGGTAACTTCTTACAAATGCTTTAGGAATACATTATAGTACACTATAGCCACAGAAGAATCCTCCTACCATCCTTGCCGTGGCAGGAGGTAGGCAATTAAAAATGGAGCAGATACTTCCTCTCCCTATAACAGTTCACAAAATGGTCTTCTACTACAGCTCTGCAGTTGAAAGCGCTGCAGAAGCCTCCTTTAAAGACAAAGTAACTCAAAAAAACCCACTTGCCACCACGTTGTTGTCTCCTATCCCACTAAGGCCCATCCAACTCAATACCGACCTGCTAGTATGGCTTTGTGAGCCTGGAACTCCTGGCCTGCAACACACAGACAGCAGTCCGTGAAGCGCGAATTCTCCCAGAGTCCTCCCAACTCATCTGCCAAGCGGCACTCTGGTACCTTCACCATGTTCATAGTGTTCTGGCCGGAGATATTGACAGAGTCCTGTACCACACTAACCTGGAGGGGAAAAGAAAGCAAACAAACTCAAAACTCAAAAACCCACACTGCAAAACTAATCTCCCTACAGGAATTTTTTATTTCCAGGGCAGGTGAAGGGAAATGCAAAGCAAAACCCACACCTCTCAAGCAGAATGACTGTATGATTTAAGATGTCTACATTTTCAAGGCATCATTCCTACCCTGCCTTAACCCTGTTCTCTGCTCCTCTGGAGTGTCTATGCCAAGTCCTAAATCACACCAGCCAATTTTCTTCTTGAGCCCAAATTAACAGCACTTCCATGGAATTTAATCATAACTTTATTAGATGGTTTCCTAAGGAAGTGGAACCTTATTTTTCTGCTTTTACAGACATCATACCTGACCTAGTTTTTTCCTTCTATCAACACTCTGAAACCCTCCCCAATCAATAATGCAACACAGACAGCAGTACAAATGAAAACGAAGTATACAGAGAGCTGCTATAACCGAGCACTGCATCCATGTATGCAAGGGCAGTGTCTGACCCCTCAAATGTCTTGCTGCTTCTGGTTCTAAATTTCTTAGAGTCCAATGCTTCCATCACACTACAAAATAAAATTAAAAAAACCCTAAACAGTAAGTTTAAAAAAGCAGCTTTATGTCAAGTAATTAGGAAGATTTGAGGAAGGCAGATAGATTCCTTATCACCTGCTCTAAAGCATACATCGTTAGGCAGGGACCATACGTAGCCATACTGGCTGATGAATAACCTACACAAAGGGAACCATTAAGAACCTATTCAGCACCAAACCATTATTGTTAAACATGCAGTAAATCATACGCCTTCTACAGCAGACTCCAATTAGAAAACATCAGAGTGACTAATACTAACCCGCTATAACAAAGAATAAAGGAAGAAGCTGATTGACAGGAAACCATGTGAGACTATTTCCTGGATTTGCTGTCAAGTCCAAGTTAAATTTCAGTTCTATTAATAACCAATGGCCAAAGAAGAACAAGGGACAGCAAAGGCAGCTTCACAGTTATGTAAAAGGAGAAGTAAATTATGAAGTGAGAGAGAGGACAGAAGCATCTTCTAAGGAAAAAAACCTGCTGACCAGCACAGACCCCAACACTTGAGAAACCTCCAGTGGGTTTCTGATGGCAGACATATCTTGTATAAACTATACAACACATGTTGTATAAACAACACTCAAAACCAAACAAATATCAGATGCTGCTTGCCAAAGGACACTAATGATTAGCCAGAGCAAGTGTGAGGAAGCTAATGTTCTTCATTGTTAATTTGACAACTACATCACCTTTTTGCCCTGTGACATGTAGGCCAGCAACATGGACTCAAGGATGGACGAAAACTCATCAGATCAATTAAAAAGGAATTCCTAGATGTAGATCCCTTGCTGGAGTCCAATACTGATTACAGACCAGCCAAAAGAGACTTGTGAACTGTGTCTCAAATCAACAAACAGATCCTCTTCGTATAGGAAAGAAAGTCAGTTACTGGCATGAAAATCTATTACATGGCTTTTTACATAAGGAGTTTAGACTGGTAGATTCCAAGTGGTGACCAGCCTTAGAGGTCAAAATAGCTAAGGTTTTGCTTAAGCTATTTTCAACATCTTAGCATGGGAACCAATGCTACCTAGCTCAGAAGAGAGCTATTACCACAACTTTGGGAACACCGTTCTTTTTGGAGATTTACCGGAATGTATTTACCTATGATGTTGGAACATAATTTAAACAGGAAAAAGTAATGGAGTTGGGATATGAACAATCAACCCCACCTGCAAAACAGAGGTTGCAAAATCCCCAAACTGACAACTAAATGAGGTCAGATTTGAAATGCTTGACAAGGAACATCATTCTCTGCCTTAACAGCATTTTCAGCAAGACATTATCCGTGTTCAGCACCGGACATGAGCAGAGAGCAAAAGGCTTTTTCCTTTTAACTTTAATAAAGCAATGAGAAGGTGCAGCAGAGGCACTTGGCAACCTTCTGATCTACAGAAAACTGGAACATATCCCCACTAACAAGCATCTCAACATCCAGTATTGCTAACTCCTTGCAAGAGTTTCTACATACAAAACATGCTTGCTGAAAGTACAGATATGAGCAGCATCACTTGGCACCTGTGGCCAGCAGGGGAGCATTAAGAGTATATGGCACACCAGTTTATACGCTAAGAGACTTAGAAGTTCAGGGAAGAAAAATTAAAAAAAAAAAGAGAGGGGAAAAAAAACCTAAAACCAAGCTGTTGAAAGTTCTCGCCAAACTGTTTCCAGACAGCAAAACCTTCCCCTCTGATATCACTAAACTTAAGATTTCTTACATGCTGACTGTAGAACAGACTGAAAGAGAAAACAGAAAATATCAAGGCCAGGTGAAGCCAGCAGCAAGTTTTCTCTTCATCCAGAACAAACAAAAACACTGACCTGAAGCTTTTGAAGGGAGTAATTCAGTAAAGGAGCGGAGTGACTTGAATTAGTACTAGTTGCCAAGACTGCTGGTGGATCTCAGGTTTATCTACATGGTAGCTTGCAAATTCCCTTCTCAGACACTAATTTTTGAGTTTCACTCCACAATTCTAAGTTTTCTGGCTCTTTTATCATGAAGGAAAGAATAATCGCCAGACCTACAGAGGTGTCATCCAAGACACTGTCCTCTTCTCCTCCCATACTGCTACAAATGTTGAAGAAAGGGCTCCCTCCACGACAGTAATAATTTACGTTACTGATTGAATACACATCCTTTAGGACATGTTTGTTAATTTAACTATGTGCATGCTTATGATGGCCAAACAAAACTGAAAAAAAAAAAACCAAACCCCAAAACCCAAACCCCCTCAAAAACCCCAAACCCAGCTGTCAAACAACTTTGAAGCATTTCTTTCACTCCTGAATTTCTTTCACTCCTGAAAGAAAACACAGCAGAAGAAAAGACTCCCATAAAAAACGCTGCAGGAGATGCAAAGAGAGAACAACTTGTTCTACCTGTCTTCTGGAAAAAAAATCACAGCTACAGGAGCTATTTTGCAGTTAAAAAGAATGAAATAAGACAGCAGAAGCTCTGAAGACACTAAATTAGAAAGTTTAAATTTGCTTATTAAGGTTTCTAAGCTTAAATATCTAGTTTTAGAAATAACTGTCTGCATCTTTGTCTGAAATTAGTATTAGTGAAATAATAATTTTGTACGCAGTTGTAAAAAAATACAAACGCAATGAACAGAAAATTGTGGTCACTATATAATTACTTTTTCTTAAATTTTTCTTGATTTTTTCTTTTTGTTGGCTGTATAGACATATTTTGTAAAATAAAGCAAACTCTTCTTTATTCAGTAGCCAAGTAATAGGCGGGCCAGTTTCCACTACAGAGCTAGTGTTGGTTATTATCCCAAGTGAGTTTCAAATTAAGGAGTACAAACAGATGGACGATAACACTAAACCAGAAGTGAAATGATAATCAAACATGCTTAATTCCTATCATCATCACAGGTGAAAGACAGAAACAAAGTAACAAAAAATAAATGGAAGTGAAATGTGATGAATCACACAGAGAAAAAGCCACCAGCCACACAGGCGCACGCACACACGCACGCACAAATAAAATCTAAGTGCCATATAAACACCCAGTATTTCTCCTGATACCTCTGACTCCTTAAAAGCAATGATGAAAAATAAGGTCACATCTACCTTAAGCTAATGGAACTGCTATTCTTTCAGGCTGCACAGGAAGACTTACCTCACAGAAGAGAGTGAGTTTGTCATCTGGAAGAAGTCCATTGGCCTCATCCAAAAGAAAGTCTCTTCTAATAAATTTTTTGAATCCCCAGTCCTTGCCTTGTACAAATCGATATGCTCGCTGGCTCTCTGAAAGAAAGAGATGGTGCTTTAAACACCAGCTGAGTGACTCGCTTGATCAAACAGCAAAAGACAAACAACTGACCCCATCAGACAGAAAGAGTTTTTACACACCCATTGCTTTTGTTTCTTCTCCCTTAGCATTCAGGATGGAGAATTTGAACTTTGCTCGAACTTCACTTTTTGGACAGCTCACCAGCAACAGATAGAGGGATAGATAATCTTTACTTTCTTCATCCAAGCCTTTAGGGTTCACACGTAAACACCTGTAGAAGCAGACATCTGAATGAGATGTCAGGAACAGTTTTTGGCAGGTCACTGGTAGCTTTCAAAGAAAGGGCATTGTAGAATTTTCACCATGTACAGCAAACAAGCTCTTTAACAGCCACTGAACCACAAGAAAATAACAGATAGGCAAATCGAGTGGAACTGCGTGTTACAGTCAGCCTCATGCTACATCTCCAAGACAGATAATAATATACACGCAGTAACTATGGGCAAACCAATTAAAAAAAAAAAACACGGGGGAAAAGAGGAGGGGGGTATTGTTTAAATTACTGAAAAGCACCCTGGATAATCAACTTTCAGAAACGGAAAGTGAAAGAAATAGTAGAAAGGAGGCAATGGATGCGAGGAAGTTCAACAAATCCAGAGAAATGGTAGGTAAAATTCCACAGGAAGCAACTGAAAGGGAAAATGGATTTCTGGAAGGCTGGTAGTTTCTCAAAAAGATAATACTAGGGCAAAAAGAGAAGAATACTCCTGTGTGAAGAAAAGGTAGTAAGTGCAGGAAGAGGCTAACTCATAAGCACTTCCATGACCTGAAACTTGACACAGAATCTAACAAGAAGCAAAAACTAGGCCAAATGACTAACAGCTCGAATACACAAGGACAAAAAAAAAAAATCAGAAAGATCTAGACATTAGAGTGAGATCTGACTAGCAAAGGTTATAAAGATAAGCAATTTAGTAACAAAAAGCAGTCCAAGGAAAGCACAGGTCTGCCACCCAAAGGAAGGGAACACAAATTGTATCACACACACACACACACAAAATTATTTAGTGGTAATTTGCTGCAATCTATACGAAGGAGGTTTAAAGAAAAATGCTAAAACACTTAACATCACCAACAAGGGATAAAATAAGGAACCAGGTGTCCATGGATCTACTAGGTCAGACACGACTCATAGTAGATACACATTCTGACCAAAGTCCACCCTGAGTTACTGGAAATTACTTGAGAACTCAGGGAAAATAAGAAAGGTTTTAAAGGAAAGGAAAAGGGTAAAAATAATGTCCTCTTTAAGAAGCAGCAACTCTTGGGCAGAAGGAGTTATAGAACACAGAGATGATCGAAGTAACAATCTTAAGTCTCTGAATTCACAAAAAGCTGCCACAAAGAGAAAGGTAATGCAGTAGCAATAGTCTTAAATTGCAGGATTTAGAGTGCAGGCAAAAATTATCTTTTTAACAATGTGGAGTATTAGGCACTGAAACTGGGAGGCTGAAATAGAGTTTGAATACACTGGCTGTGGACTCTCATTGGCTTATAAGAACTTGTTAAGATAAACATCAGCCAAAAAAACCCCAACTTAAGACATTAATAATCCTCCACGGCACGTGTCTGCTTCAAGGCAGGATGTAGTCTCCTTTCCAGTTATGGTTTCTATTACTTCTGATGTTTTCCATTACCAGAGAAACACTGCAAACAGCCAGATCCTCACATTTGTTTTGTGTGTCCAAACACTATGCTGAAGCAACAGTACTTTCTCCCTGCGCATATGTTGTACATCCAAGGAAGCAAGAACCCATGTGCAGTACAAGTACTTCTTTTATGTATTTCCTCTGTTATAGAAGTCCAAATTCTTTCACACATTTGTACAAACAAGGTGAACCTCTCTGCTCTATTTCTTACCATTTGAGTTTATCATTGGCTCCAGATGAAAAGGTTGAGCTTTTGATGACCTCACCCATTTCTTCTCGGCAGAAGCTGAAGTTGTTTATGGTCCACATGTAGGAAAACTTCACCACCTTGATCTTAAAACAGAGGATAATAGGCGGTTTAGGGTCATGCCCATTCATCCTAGCCATCTTAAAGGCAAAAACTGAAAAACCTGGAAGTTTTACCGAGTCACTTGCGTAACAAATAATCCCCAAACACAATGACAACAGAGCCTAGAAATGGCTAGCAGTGGCAGCTGGACCACTCCAACTTCTCCAACTGCCTCCTCCAAAGTTCCACCAAGGGCAGAGGGCAACATTCTGCTGTTGCCTTGGTGAATGCTTGTTGTTAGCAAGCATGACATCGTCTGAAAATCCAGACTCTAAACTTGTTTTGAATAAATTTCTTACCACAGGTTCTAATCGCGTTACGTCAAGGATATCTCAGCACAGTGTGGCCTTACCTGAGTGTAGCACCAGCTCTCTGCTACAGGTCCACTCGACATTTCTGCCGGAGGAGGAGGACTCGGCACCCTTGACATCGCCAGTTTGAAGATTAAACAGAATTTCACAACTCAGCAGAAGAAATTTATAATTGATCTTCACTCTGTCAGTCCCAAAAAAAGAGAAAAAAACAAAACTAAGAACAAAGAATAAAAACTTCAGGAGTGCTGTTAAATCTCATACGACACAAGCTAAAGCCATCATGTTTTCTCCCTCCCCCTCTAGCACCTTCAAAATATGATGTTACATTTAAACATTTTCAAGTGTTACCATATGTTTTCTGAAGAAGGGATATACCACCTCCACTCATCCTTTCAATATGCAGCTCCATATAGGAATAAACCTATCATATCATTTTCTTTAAGGAGTCCAAGATTCAAATAGGAGACTCCCCACTTGACTTGGGATTTACTACTTTATCCTGAGGCCACCATTTCAACTCACTACTTACTCCCTATTTTCATTTTGAGAATCTCAGACTATGAGAGATCAGATTTGATAGATGAAGTTCTCAATCTGAAAAAGCTACAGGTAGCAACACACAACCCAAACTCAACAGCAAAACAAAACCCTAGGTTCAAAGTGACTCAGGTAACATCAACAGAATAATTTCCTATAGCTTAAAACTTCTCCTGAAGCCTTACTATCAGGGAAGGTGTTGGTAATGATTTCTCCACTTCAAACTGAATCCCTTTGGCCAGAGGGAAATTCTCATTGCCTTTATATGCTAGTGAAGTTCCCCACTTCCAAAGGCCAAGTCAAATTGTCATCTGCAGAGAACATATGGGGTTAAAACCTCTGCAACACACCTGAATGAATACACAGGCACAACTGATAAAATAGGCACCTAGTTACCAGAAGGGAGGTTTTAAAACAAAATAGAATAATCAACCCATCTCTGACTTCTGCGTCCTGATCCCTAAGGCAGATACACAAAACGTCTTCAAAGATGAGCTCGGAAACTAGGATTCGTAACTTTGGCAGATAAAAAAGCATCACATGCCTTACAGTTTAGCCTTCTGCTAAACACTTTCTGTTTCACAGGTGGTATTTATCTGCCTTCCTCTTACCGCACAGGACAGCCAGTGAACCACAAGAACTCCATTGCTGTTAGTTTTGTGCTCAAAAGGATGAAAAAAAAGGGTGAGTAAAAGACAAAGTTGTTATCTTGCGATACGAATTGCTTTAAATACAAATGCTGATATTGAGGTTCGTTGGGGGAGAAAGGTTAAGCACAGGCTCACGGTCTTGAGGAAGGCCGAGTCATTAGGTGTTGAAAGAAAAATCGTGCAGAAGAATAGAGAATATATACCTAAAAATCCCACACCTCAGAACAACAGGAGAATATTCACAATAAGAACATAAATATATATGCACATAATTCCCCCCAAACTGCTATCGACATAATTTGGAGTCTTTAAGTGCAGCTGCAGGGCAGGTCTGGATTTGAGTGCAGGCTCCAGCTGCAGACCAGACCTCTCCCAAGCAAGGCTCGCATCAGCCTCCACTCCAGTTTATGGCTGTTACGTACTCAGGTTTGGAGTTCTATGCACCTTCACAAAGTACCTGGAAATACTGGTACACAGGCATTATCTAACAGTAAAACAAGAGTGGGGTTTTTTTCAGGTTTAATTTCCTTCAAAAAAGCACAAGTGAGCCCACGTAAACACTGAAAAAGAGATACTGGCTATCAGGAGCTAAGAAATAAGTATTTAACCCTGCAGAGATGCACACTTCAACTTGATGGAAATTTATTTCCCAGAGCAAAGCTCAAGGGCAAACAACTAACTCCTTAAGACCTGAACTGCAGACAACTCGCACTAATGTAAAACCGAGTGCTCTCTGATCAAACTGCTTTACAAACTTCTTGCATTTGCAGTTTGTGCTGTGCATGTGGAATGAGGAAAAAAAAAATCAACATTTTAAAAAGGGACATCAATATGCGCTTTAGGTAGTCGCTGCAGGTTTTATTACATTAAACTTAAAATTACCACAATTCCTGCAAAGAAATTCAATTAAAGCCCTCTGTGTCATTCAAATTAAGACAAAATGAGCAGACACTAGTTTTGAATACTTAGCTAACTGCCCTTCCACGGGCAACATTCAGTCTTGCCTCCGAGGACATCATCGCTTCACTGTCTCCAGTCACAAGTCTTTGGGGGACAGATAAAACCTGAAATTCCAGCACAAGCAGCAAGAAACACCTCCTCCTCACCACGGCTGGGGAAGGGATGCCCTTTTGCTGGTTTTTGTCCATGGGCAGGAAAGACCCAAGCTTTTCCCTTCCCCTCGGGGTTCACAGAAGCACTGCTCAACTCCACCCAAGCTGTTACATTGTTCTGTTCACAGCTATTTTTAATCTACATTATTCTAGTGATCTGTTTTATAGCACAGGTATAAACGACAGGGACACAAACTCCTGAGAGGATAATAAGCAGCCAGGGAAAGGATGAAGTTTCTTAAGCTCACCTCCTCACTGACGGCAACCTGTCTGCACACTAAGCAACAAGATGCTAAGCCTAATGAAAAGGTTTGACCAGAAGAAAGCACAATGCATAAATAAAACACAAGAGTGGGATGCGACATTAGATTTTTTTTTTTGTTAAAATTGAAGTTCGTTTCAGTGATTTTCGATTTTTTTTTTTTTTGGTTAAAATTGAAGTTCGTTTCAGTGATTTTAGTTTTTAACTAATACCTTTCTCCTCAAACTATTTGCAACATGGAAGCATTCAGGTCTCTTAAAAGACTTCCTTATGCAGAGTGAGAAATAATGCAAATTTTATTTAAGAAGCATTAGAGGGATGAAGAAAAGACATAAAAACAACTTAGCTTAAAGTAACTTTTGAATTCTCTGAAACAGTGACATTATGGCCCTCCATACATCTCCCCATATACCTGGCCAAAACCGAGGTGTGAATTAAACCTCAATGTACTCGCCCTTCCTCCTAACAGGGATTTTGGGCACAGCCCATCACTGCAAGACACCCTAAAGCTCCATGTGAAGAACGGCCAGAGAGCCAGCAGCACTGTCCATCAGCATCTTCCCGGTGACTCTGTGAGGCCACAATGCTGTTCTCCTTGCCTGGCTTGGAATAATCACAAGGAACAGATCCAGAACAGTTCAGATAAGGAACCAATTTCCACGTAAGGTATTTATCAACAATAAGCAGTTTTTTATAAGACGACTTCTACTTCCAGGTAAACTGAAGCAATTAAGAATCTCTACACACACATTAGAGAAGTGGTTTAACACGAAAGGTAATTACACAGTTAAAAGACTCCAGCGGGTCCTTCTTGAAGACAAATGGGTAAATTTAGTGGTAACACCTCCCTTTATGGCATGAAAATAAGGGATTAATGAGGAGGAAAAGAGGAGACAACAACAACTTTTCATGTTACAATGGCACATTCATCAAGCCTGTTGGAACACACTGACAAGTTGAAGGGTTTCCTGGATGGAGGGCAGAAGTTAATCCTAAATTCCTGTACCTTTCACTGGTCTCCAAGGAGCAAACTCCAGAAGACTGAAGCCATCAATCCTTCCCCTATAACTGGGGAAGGAAATAGCTAATCGTGTAATGCAAAAATTGAAACTTTTGACAACTACTTTCTCTATTTCAACAGGATATTAAGAGGTACCTAGATATTACCTCCATCTTACATATGCAAAGAAGTTTTAGAAAGCTTCTGTGGTCTAAAGGCAAGACAATGTATGAGCTGCAGATACACAGGACTATTTAATTTCCTCTGAGTAACTGTCACTTCTGTATCTTATATCCTTTCCTCCCAGATGGCTTGGATAGGCAGGTGGTAATAAAAGTTATGACAACGTGCTAATAGAATTGCTGCATGCCAGCGCATCATTCGTTATGCTTTTAAAATGGCCCAAAGGGGACAAAGGTTCTAGATTTTAAAGATTTTCTAGTATTTGGAAAATATTTTCAGTCTAGTATGTCAAAGCTTTCTACAGATGCTTTGCAAGGCAGTTAAATACAGTTAAAAAAAAACATGTTAAACTCCAACATACCCCTATCTCATAAACATCAAATACTTGTCATCAAATGACATCACTGGTCCTTTTACTACTTACAGTGTAGCAAGTCATAATGGGAATAAACAGGTAATATCCATCATTGTCTTTTGCAAAGATTACCAGTAAGGAAAAACTTGCCACTTGCCCTGCTTAGCAAGCACACGAACAGGGTAAGCACATAAAACGCCACTGAAAAATATCCTTAGAAGTGTGCCGTAGAAACTGCCATGTGTTCTTCCACCTACAAATGCTGAAAAAACCAATATTAAATGCATTTTAAAAGGAACCACAGCTGACTTAAGGTAAAGTTAAGTTTCTGAAATCAGCAGGGTACCCCCGGTGTTTATTTGCTCCTGAACACTTAATACTTCACCAGTTCACACTTCTTCACTAACAATGCTGGCACCTCTGAACTAGGAGTGAATTAAGAAGCGCTGCAGGCAGAGGTTTTAGGGAAACATTTTGTAAATAGTTTGGGTATCAAAATTCTTTCTGGCCAGGAGAGGCAGGGACAAACTTGAAGGTACAGGCATAAGTATCAAGTCACAGGAAACAAAATACAAAATATTATCTTACGGACCCTTGTGAGCCCATGTACAGTCTGCAAGTCTCTTACTTCCTTGGATATAAATAACAAACAGCACCTGTCTCTGGACATAGTTAAGGTTACAGTTAAGAAAAAGAATAATTCTCACCTCATTCACAACCACTTCCAGATGAAAACATTTTATCTAAGAACCAGAGCCTGATCAGACCTTTTTGAAGCACAGGAAATGTTCCCTTGCCACGCTGTCCTCCTCATTACCTCCTGACTTAGGAGCTGTACCGAGGCATCTTTGCTCAGAACTTCACCTACTGTAGGACTCAACAGTCAAAACTATTCTGTGAGCATCAGAGACTTGACCTGAAAGAGGTGGGGAATCTCAACTCAACAAAAAATTCTAGAAGGGGCCTCAAAATTACTAGACTTTTGCTAAACAGCCTGTCAATTTCTACTTCTCCTCC